TACTCCAATAAGAATCCAGTGAAACTTTTCTATGCTTTAGCATAAATTGTTATTTAGTTATAAATTCAACCAGGTGTTGGTGTGCATCTGACATAGATGCCGAATTCGTGCATCCCAAAACCGTTCCTCCCTAGAACTCAAAATAGACTCTTTCTGAGGAGAATTCAAGAATGGTAATCAATACTGTTCCAAAGTTCTGGATAATAATTGGAGTTATTGGATCAAGTTCTGTATATTGTAGTCCTACTAATGACTGGTTTGAGTAAAACAGTAATAATATTTTACTATAACATTGGTTACTTCAGGTTCGAATAGTGTCAGAAATTTGATTCGTCAGGCCACTAGCTAAGAAATATTTTTAAGGATAATATAGTTTCAGTGAAAAGATATTTTCCTACGTGCTTCTAAAAAGTATATACCTCATCGGAAATTTAAACGTAGGCAAGTTGATCAAACATCACTATTTAAAAAAACTCGCGAAATACCAAACAATAGAAATTTCAAGAGCAATGTCAGCGCCACGCTTCGGAGAAGTACATCAGTAAAGATCGCAGTGATCGTTCATAGCTTAAAAAATTCAATATGAGTAAGTATCATACTTTCTGCATACTGCAATCAAAACATGGATGTAGCAAATTAATAATCACCTCCCAAAACACTAACGAAGCTAACCGATAGATTGCTTATCGAGTGGCATCTCCCTGGCGAACTTTACTCGACTATTACATCTAGCTTGACAGTTGTTCTACAATTAATGATTTAAAGTTACTGATAATGAGGACCAGTATAAATTAAGGTCCAATGATTGTTTTATCAGTCTGCAAATAGAAGCGAGATGAACCATTTTTATAACCGTACTGATATTTGTGGCTGCGTAGTTTATGTACAATCACCTGATGTTCCTCATGGTAGATAGCAGTTTACCAATGGTGAAAATCAATTAATCATAACCAGCACAACCCGACACCAATGAATATCGTCTAAATTATTTGTAACAACGATTCCCATTTTCGAGCATAGGCCAAAATTAAGAGTTACTCCAAAGGTGAGTGTTCATTTATAGCTCTGGAAACATAAAAATCCCACGCAAACATGATTTACTTCAAACTTACAACATGAAATGAGTAGAAGTATCTTAAGTAATACATACACTGAAATTGGAAGAGTACACCGTGATACTAAGCACGGGATAGAAGAGAAACGTTTTACAGAATTCGTGTGTCAACAATTAACAGTACTGAAATTAGTTAAGCCTGTAAACACTAACTGGGACCGTAACACACTCGGATCTAAAAGAGTGGAAAGTGGAAACGTTATTCAATCTGATATTTATGCTTCATAATCTAGAGAAAGGATAGTTGAACTATAAACGTTCCCACGAAATCAAGCTATAAAAACTGTTCAAAATAATTAATGCACAATGTATAAAAATTTTCGAGAAAAAAATAAAGGACAAAGTGATCAAACAGATACATTGAGATCAATTTCGTTGACAGTACTCCTGATATGTACGCTGGATTGCTCGATAAAACGTAAAATAACGTCTGACCACTTGTTACAAAGCCAAGTATCATTATGATGACCATCCGGAAAACTCACAAGACCATCTCTTCCAGAATTAATGAAGGTAACTGGGTTTTGGGAAAGCGAGTTAGGATTTGGGGAGTCGTCGTACATTACGCTCGAACTACACTCATTTCGAATATGCTGTTTTGTCACTATATTTTCATAAGCTTCAGCAAGCTTCCACATCATTTTTGGTGGAATAATATTATCCAACTCACCTGAGATAAGCAAAAGAGGTGGGAAAGCTGAGGATTTCTTTCTAGATTTGCTACAACTTTGAAGTCTAGCCAAGGAGGTATATTGATTTGAGAACAACCAAGAGGGCAATTTACAGGGTATATTGAGGATATGACTTGCAGCATCAGTGATAGATGTAAACGTGTTTTCAATAATAACACCACATATTTTCTCACTTGATATAGGATCCACTGCCAAATAAATACCTAACGCTCCTCCCAATGATCGACCAAGTACAAATATTTTTTCATTGTTCAGATCACTTCTCATGTATAAATAATTAAGAGCACACGTACAATCTGCATATAAGCCCTCTTCACTTGGCTTTCCGGTACTCTGACCATAACCTCGATAGTCTATAATAAAAATATTACATTGAAAACGGTTTTCTAAAACTTGACACATTGGTAGCCGGGTAGTAGAGTTTCCTGCATTTCCATGCAAAAGAAGCACAACTGGACAAGACTTTCTGCGACATAAATCAGGCTGAAGAAGAAGGAAACCAATAATTGTTGGCCCAGTGTTGCCATTAGGACATAATTTTACCAATTCCCATGTAGAAAATCCAAAACATGATGGATTCATGTATAAAAATTTCGAAGACGGTGGTTCATCACAAGCATAAACTATTGTCTGTTCTAGGTACTGAAAACAAAACCATAAAGCAAGTAACAATAATAAAACGGAAATTAAGAGAGAAAGGGGCAAAATTAAATAATCGAGCGACAACGAAATTGGTATCCCAAAAATAATAAGAATAAACAGGCCAGGAACACGAAATGATTTGTTGCAGTTTGTTAATGGGCAGAAAGGCTTTGGATTTATAATCCAGTAACTGAACTGAGAACGAATTGGCCGTAGAAGAAGAAACAAACGTCCAACTAAACCTCGTCGCATTGTTAAGCCTTCATTCAAGCATGAATTCGACTCACTCACGGGAGTTCCTGAGGTCTGAAATGAAAGACAAGAAACACATGCAAAATTACTTCGTAAAAACTGGATAAAGATTCAACTTTTGAATGTAAAGAATCTGAATGCTACTGGAAGAGCAAATCAATCAGGTGTATTCAGTTTCGCAAAAATGAGAAACATGTAGTTTGCTAACAGCAACAACGAGAGTAGTCAAAAGAAACACAAAACGTGATTCTCCAACGAACAATAAAGTGAAGAAATATGGCAAACATAGTGTTGTAAACATATGTATGGTTTTAAGACGACAATGCTACGGTGCTCATCTTCAAATGCAAGAACTTTGCGTATCTTTAGATATACTGAATTTGCGCTATCAGGGGATAAAAAAAGACCAGTTTGTATCACATCCATACTACAACACAAAAGGTCGAATAAATGCACAACAGTCCTTTTGTGTTAATCCAAAGTCACAAATAATTAAAACCATCTGCCGTAAATTTTAAAGTTTCAATATCAAATCGTTACTTCAAATAACACGAATCATAGCTACTAATAACAACATGATAATACATATTGTGTCAGTACTAATAAGGAATTGTTTCTGGGTAACCCCTAGTATTATCCGATCGGATTCGCTGATTATTAATTATTTGAGATCTGATGACAACAATCCAATTTCGACTAATTACAATCATCTAAGCAATATTGGTATACAATAAAAGATTATATCGTGTTTGTATGGAAGTTATCCAGGGTTCTATGCTGTTAAAATAAATGGATTGTGAAATCCCAAACTTATTTCACTAAACTAGACTTTCCAGACCTGTCAGAGAAGGGTTATAACCCCATGAATTAGAGCTTCCAACGTTCTTAATAATAAATGTTAGAACGGAACACAAACTAGGTTGATAGGTAATTTGCATTTGTAAACACCTCCAGTGAAATCGGGAAGTGACTATAATTTGATACATGAATGTTCTGAAACCAATAACAACTAACAAAAAATCTGAAAAGCCAAATCCATTCTACTAAATACTGTTTAATAACCAACTCTCTTGAATATAGATATGAACTCGAAACATACGTTTCCATGTCAATAAATAATCAGGGTTGCTAAGAAAAACCAGTCGATTTCTTGGAGTACATATAAAGTCTCTACAATGATGAAAAACATGGAATGTCCCAAAGTCTGTCAAGTAACGGATTTAGCGAACAGATCAGCTAGAAATCATGCAATTTGTATTGGTCTGAATGACAAAAATAGGTTAAATTAGTGTGTCTCTTATGAAGACATTTCCCAGCTGAGGTCGCAAACATTTTTGGTATTCAAAATTTAGTATAAAATATTTCTTTCGGAGTTGGTTATGTGGGATTTAGTGCCTAAACCATTCCGCGGAACAGACTCAAGAAACATGAGAAATTCTGATTTATGAAGATCCAACGTTTTGGCCTACATGTCATGAGTGACTGCTAATTATAATCTTCGGGTTTTTAACTTGTTCTACATTTTAGTCGTCGAAAAATTATATTGAACCAGTAGTCATAAAATGACAATAAAAGTCTTCGGTTGAGTTCAAATGTTGACAGTATTATAGAATGAAAAGTATCTTGTGCTATCAGGATTAGTGTCTTTCAGTCTAAATTTTTCAATCTCAACTGGATTCATCGAAAATCAAATAACTATGTTTAGCGTCAATGCAGATAGAATTAGTCTAAAAAATGCGAATCAATAAGCCACACTGCTAGCATATTCGTACTACATCCGAAGTCAGCAAAACCGAAAACTAATTTAGAATAATATTAACCTAGAGTAAGTCCGTTTTTCCAAGTGAAAAATAAAACACCGCGTACCATCTTCAGCACACTTATACTCCAAATACTAATAATATGGTGGTGATCATCTCGACACGTAACAGGGAACCAAGAAGAGCATAAGTGACCTACAACATAGAAACACGATCATCATATGCCAAAATTCACAAATCTGATAGTTAATAAATTCGCTTTATTCTGCTATTCTACATGTAAGTGGTTACACAGAAATGAAACTAGGTTTTACGCTGCATGACTGTATGCTACTGTCTAGTGGTACGAAATTCTCAAGGTTTATAAATAGCTACATGCATTCAAATGCAGAACAAAAGAAAACGCAAAAATGATAAACCTTATCCTGAAATTCAAAGAAGATTTGTGGACGATATGTACGTCTAAAGTGGATTACGAACATTTATGGTAGTTATTAGGGGATACAAAAAGCAACGTAAAAGAAAAAGAAAAGTCTTGGATAATTTATACAATTTATTTATACAAATCAGAATAAAAAAACATTTGTACAAAAGTAAGTCATCTGAGTATGTTATTTAAGCACTAAGTCCAGCTTTTTTCTCTGCAATCACATATATTAACAGACGCCACATTTTTACAACAAATACTTCTGCCTCCTCATCTAAAACCTGAAGATAAAAATCACAAACCAAATGATAATAGTATTAAAGCCATATAATTAAGTGCATTTGATACGATGATAATAATTTGAATATACGTATGTAATCGACGTTGCAATGAACCACATATGATGTAAACAAATACTAATGGTGTGAACCTTTGTAAGATTGTTCTATCATAAAACTAGGTCGGTAAGTTTGTATGAACGACATTACACACAAAACTAGAAATAGATTCCCACTTAGTAGACAATTAATGTTCAACACTAAAATGGTAGGTTGGACATAGTTTGGGAAACAATAATCTGTTTGTCTAGCATAGCTCGAAGCCGAAAAGTATCTAAGAATGATTCTTCAAAGTAATCCTTTGACCACTATTTTAAATTTGCAACTGCTCTGAAAAGTTAGTGTCAGTTATAACCATAACAATGGTGACCCAAAAATATGGTAGTTCACCCCACCCCAATAACTCTGACTTAGACCCAATTGTATTTAACTACCAATCAGTGAAAATTGGTGTTGTGAATTATTTTTTATTGCATTACTTAATATTGGTCGATATGTAGCACTCTCCCATTTTCTGGCTATATTTATTCTATATTCTAATGTGTGACAATGTGATCAATTATATGAGACGTAAAGCAAAAACATTCACAAAAAGCATGCACCTATTTAGGTTATTGGACAATGAGAGAATAACGATGCGAGAAAATGGAAACGATTGGAAATAGTGTTATTGATAAACTGAAGGAAAAAGTGTGAAAACCAATCGAAAATAAGAAATCGGTGGCTTCAGAGAATAAAAATTAAGTATTCCGTATATTTGCGATGGATTTTGAGATCAACATCTTAAGCAATTAGTTTCTATAGTCCTGTTTATACTCACACATTTGATATAACGACAGAAACTATATATATATATATATATATATATATATATATTTCACGTCTAACTTCTTCCTAGCAATATATTTGTTTTTTAATGGGTAGTTTTCGATACCAGAGATAGTAAAGCTTGATGAGCATAAATCGGATTCGATAGCTGAACCATAATCGCTAAATAACCTCTGAATGTAATGGTTAATATATTTAATTACTTTATTATTTATTTTTAAGATGTGTCGAGATTGTTTATTCTCAATATGTAATACAAACCAAAGATTTCTACCTTCCAAATTAAGATATATTTTATTAGTATATACACCTTAAATCATTATGTGGTCTGAGTACCATAGAAGACATTTAGATATGAATATCGCTAGACAGAAAAAGATCCGACTATAAAAGCAACACACAGAGGATAACAAAATATGGATAGTCATGTAATATGGATTTTGTGAATCAAACAACACAGTTTGAATAGGAATACACAGATCACATTCACTACTTAAGAAAATAGGAAATCACGACAAGAATCAGTTATCATCAACATCTGATGCAAACGGGAATTGTTATAAGCTAAGTACCTAATACTAGCATAGTAAAAGATGGAACGGATAAATCAAAAAGATAAAAGGGATTAACTACAACTGAAGTAAAAATCTAGTGGTGAATTATACGACACAATGACAATCAGTCTAATATTTAGGAAGCACGGAATGAATGCAACTGTTCCACCACTGGAACTGAATAAATTTATAGATACATGAATGTTCTCTAAGTAACGTTAAAGGTTAGATATTATAACTAATTTTTGAGTAATACTTACCATGGCAATGTCAGCAAGTATACGTTCTGGTGGATTGTGGTGTAGTAGTTGATCGCATATGAAACTGGATAATGTTGCTTCTGCTTCTCCGATATAACTTACAATCTTCTTATCTACCCAAGGCTTTATTCGAGAATTGACGAAATCCTGAAAGAAAACAATTGTTTGGAAAATTATTTACTGTAGATATTCATGGTGATGGATGAAAAGGGATAAATTAATGTTCATATCATGAAAAGCGCATCAGAACTGATCCAATACTGCTGTAAATTTGTGGAAAATACGAGAACCTTTGTTATGATTTTTTAAAGACGACACACTACTTTACTCAACGAGTTCCCGAATCGGAACACGGTTGAACAGAAACAGTAAGAAAAAGGTTGGTGTATTTATAATTATCATATAAGATTATAGTCTGCTCCAAGTCTCCACTAATTGCGTTTCTAGCTTCTCTAGAGTTACTGCCGGTCCAAATACTGAGTAAAGGATGAGGGTTGAGCATGGTGTTAGACAAACAGCAGTACAAAGGTTCAATACAACCTTAGTTCGACATACCGACAAACTCAAGACAGTACTAGTGTACGGAGATGAAGTTTGGAGAACTACCACAACCATCATCAAAGGGGTGCAACTATTCATAAACAATCGTCTACACAAGATACCGAATGTTGAAGAGAATAAATCAGCTTCCAGCTGAAGAGGAAATTATGAGAAGACTCTGGGAGTGGATAGGACATACATTGTGGAAATCATCAAACCGCATCACGAGGAAAGTGCTAACTTTGAATTCTGAAAGGAAAAGAGGAAGGCTAAATATCACACTGCGTCGGAAACTGGAAGCAGACATTAAAAGAATGAATAGCAACTAGAGAAAATTGTAAACGACTGCCCAGGACAAAGTTTGACAGAGAACTCTGGTGGGCGGGCTATGCTCGTCCACGAGGGATAACGGGCGTAAGTCTCAGCTAACGCTGATTGATTAGGAAGTAGCCAATCAGTGTTCCCCAGCACAATCCTGCCCGAAGCGTGCTTTAATTCAATCTATATCTCTCTAGCACCTATCGGTAATACCATATAAATTGCATGGTGTGTATCTTTCAACTGTTTGGTAGCTCTCTTCGCATATGATTAGTAATCACTGACCCTAATTGAAAAATGGCAAAGAACTTAGTGTACAGAACAGCATTCAATAAGTGAGCTGTACTAAAATTTAATGTGACACTTATTTAAAGCACGCAAATAAAAGAAGCAATAACATATTTGTTGTTCAAAACAATATTACCCTATATTCAAAGAATTGAAATATAGCACCAAATTGATTGCTACTAATTCACAACACTTAACAGAATTGATAGACTTGTAGACGGTGTACAAAAAACATACAACACTTACGGCATCAACCATATCCCAGTCAATAGGATAAGCAAATAATTCTCTTTTGTGAGTTGGTATCCCCTCAATAATTCTTTTGATAATTGCTTTTTTTTCTTCTGTTGACAATGCTGAAACTGGTGGTAAGTTGTTTGAATCATTTTGGTTTGAATCGCCACCATTTGAAGGATTGGATATTGAATTAGCCTTTAAAGCTGACGGTGGCAGCCATGAAAGACCATGTTTTTTCGGTTTCTCATCCTGCTCTTCATCAGCGAATGCCGATGCAGTTTTGCGAACTACTGGTTCAACTAATGTAAACGAGAATTAGGAAGGTAACTGAGATATACAACCATACAAATCACCTATTACTAAACAAAATTTGCGGTATGATTTAAGTGGAGACAATGCTGAAGTAAATAGAATATACATATAGATACGAGTTTCACTCTATCCTGGTGTCCAATTACACAATGGAGAAAAAAAAAGCTTTTCGTAATCCTTTCACTTTATATATTTGCACTACCTTAGAAATAATCAAATGTCCAACAGAACCCTAGCGTTCCGCTTCCGCTACACACATCAGGCAGGGTTCTTCTTAGTGAAGATGTGGCGAAAAAACTAGAAACACTTGGAGTACTGAAACTTTGAGTATATATATTGAAGTTATATCGATCTCTAGACAATATAACTAAGATGATTAGTGGGAATATGTACTTGTTACAACCAGGGTAACCGATTCAATCAACTCATTTATCCAGTGCGAGTTTATGTACCTCGCTTTGTGAAAGTGATACCACCCAGTGGCTCAAACCCGATGTGAAGTGAAGTTTGAATCTGCAGCAAACCGCTGGAAGCCGACTGGTTTTGTCAGTAATCCACTAGTTTCATGCATAAAGAGAAGTAAGAAACTGTCCAAAACATGAAAAGTTAATTGAAGTAGACCTAAAAATTCTAAAATATAGAAACTGAAATGCAGTAAATGCGATACTAATAACGTTTGGTTTGATCTGTGTTAGTCGGAATAAATCTGCAAACTGGAGTGGTTTGAAAACTTGGGAAGTATACTTTGCACTCAATCATAAGTAAACCAGTCATGAAATCAGTGTAAAAGAGTTATTGTCAAAAACCAAAACTATTAAAGTAATGAGTATATTTGATACTTTAATCCATTTACTAAGAAATGTGGCAGCAGTTCAATATGATAGGGTGTTCTCAATATGACCATCAACTCTCAATTAGGATATTGTTTAGCCAATCAATTATAAACAATGCAGAAGCTGTCACACAAATTTGTCGGTCCAAGTTGACACACTATATCAGCACAGTGAGATGAAATAGTCAATGGTAATAGGAAAACCTTGACATTAACAATATGATTCGAGACATAAGTATAAGAGAATTAAAAACTCAAGATATGAGGGAAGATAAATAGTGAATCCATTTGCATCAATTGTGATTTTGAGCCATGCCACCCATTAATATACACTACAGAAGCGGGCAATGAAACTTCTAAATGAGAACTCCACATTAAGAAATACATATGTATATACACTTTCAACCGATAGGTCATAAAAAACCAAATTTTTTCACTACATGATGAAAAGTGATAGAGAATTGTGAGACAATATTGCCTAGAAAGATATGCAGGGATCTGGATGGTAAGAATCCCTACTTGCCTAAACTAAAACAGAGAAATGTCACTAAACAGATTTCAAGCCTCTTTATTGATAACAACAGTAATAATTATTTCAACTTTCAAATTGCGTCACAAACAAGACTTTCTTCTAGACAAAACTAGCTCATTGGATCGTCAGAGAAGCAAACAGATGGAATTGACAAATTTTACGAAGTATTTAGATTTTGGGAGCATGTAAACAACTTACCGATTTCACCCTAATAACTGAGATCGCTATATCCAATTTTCCTCACCGTACTATGTTATAATCTATCTGGAAGCTCAAGTTATTCTTTAAAAATGTTTATGAAATGCGATGAAATATAGTAGAATTGAGTAGTTTCTGATAGTATCCCTCAAACTTAACAAGCATAACTATAAATGAAAAGCACCGAAATATAATAAGATCAACGATAGGTAGTTTAAAATTAAAACGCAATTACCTGCACTCATTGAAAATAAAAATGTATTGGAACCATCCTTCAGTAAACTGACAGACGTCTCTTCAGGAGCAGCAGGTTCGAACTCAGAGGTAACGCCATTGCATGCAGGTGATAAATTATTGGTTTCAAGTGACTTAACCACACACTCGAGGTTTTTAGACTAAAACAGAATCACAATATACTGATCACAAAAACCACAAACCTAGATAGCAAAACACTTGAAATCGTACTGAAAAACATCAGTTAAATGGAAAAGACCCTTTAGATTAATGTTCCAAGTACTAATTTTTGTGAACTACCCCTTTTATAGTATAACGAATAAGACTACTAGTAAATCAGTAACTTAATAAAACTGACTACCGAAATAACTGCACTTATTCGTTGTACCTTCAAGGTTCCTCGACGAAGAGTTTAGTAGTACTACACATTACTTGGAAACAGTATGTTATCAAATAACATAAAACTTCACGTATGCATCAACTATACGCTAAGGATTGCTTTGAACTGTTAAATTCAAAAACAATTACTTTATAACATTGTTCGAAATCCATGAAAGCTGAACCACAATAATGAATTGCTTTGCACACTTTGTAAAGCTTGTTTTGATTTAGACTACTGCTATAAAAGAGAACATATAATATTACGAGAAAAACGAAGTGTAGAAAGAACTCTAATTATGTGATAAACAAACAAATGACTTAGCATATGGATTTGAACAAAGAACTAACTGATAACATTTACCCTATAGCACACATTATAATCGAGCTGTAACTTACCTCATCTTCAGCGCTCGGCAAATTTTCACTAACCGGTTCAGGACATTGGTTATCATTTGATTCGATGGACATATCACCATTGACCAGTAAACATCTTCTGAGATGCTCCTGCATTTTTTGTTCCATTTGAAATATAATGGATTCTGCATTCGGATCACCCTCTTCAATTAGCTTTCGACGAGCTGTTTCAAGTTGCTCGATTTCCTTTTGTCGATCACGTTCATCAGCCGCTTCTTCAATTTCACGATCTTTCAAACGCTGGTGTAGGGCACTGCCTCTGGATAAATTTTTTAAAAAAATTTAACTGCTATGTGAATTCAAAGACGTTTAAAAACATGAATTAATACGTTTGCGAGTGCTTTTTCTGAAGGATTTTAGTGCTTTAAAGTTATAACTACAGAAGCAGTGCTTAGCACGAACGGTAGCTGGCTAGATAAATACGCAAGGAAAACGGGAATTATTGAATAACAATAGTATCCACCACGTCGAAATACTAATAGCAAAATCATACGATACAATGTTAACCCTTTTGCATCCTCACGCAGACTTATTTTGTCAAGCACCAAGTTCAAAGTAACATTCAAAAGTCATGAAATACATGAACGCCCAATCCACCCAACTTGTTTAGGCAATTTTCGCCTAAATTCAGCAAGGGAAATGTTAGCCGAAATGTTTACAATTCATATGTTAAAATATATAGCAAAAATACTGTGAACTTTAAAACTATAATTTCAATTTCATGCAGATTTGCGTTATCAGTGCTGTTGAAATATATATATATATATACTGAATGGAAATTACTAACATACAAACACCAAGTAGTTACTCAAACGTTAGAAATTCCAGCGCCTGTCCCCAAACATTTAGTGCAAGCGATAAATACAAATGAATGCTGGATTTCGTGTACCCTACTAGACCTGATACATTGATGTTAAACTAAAATCAAATTTTACCTGTAATATTTAGGATCCTCTACATTGTCATCATAATCTTCAAAAAACTCCTTTAGCCTTTGAGCTTCGATCTGCAATTCACGTTGTCGTTTCCTTTCATGATCTCTCTCATGTTCATATTCATTGGCCTTCTTTCGTTCACGAATTTCCCACTGCTTTAGTCTCTGAAATTAATAGTTTGATAGTGAGAGAGCTTTGAGAATTTCATGTACATAAATGAGACAAAATAATGAGGTTCCACAAAATTCAAGTGATGCAGCATCTGGATCATTTACAAGTAACAAATTACGTGATTAAACTGACTCAAAAAGATCAAACTGACTTATTAACCAGGTACTTGGTTATGAGCCACACTTTCAGTGTAAAGCATAGCAGCACCACACAGCTGACCGAATCACAGTGGACGGACCTGGATTCGGACCCGAAAACCAGTGGCTGAAATTCGAACACCACCGCTCAACGAAACTAGTAAGAATAACTAGGTTCTGCCAATTCTCAAGTTTAAAACAGACAGGACAAACTAGTCATAAATCATAAAGAACGGAATTATATTTTAATTTAGATCATGAATCGATCAATGTTAGATCGCTATTAGAAACCTGGAAGCACTAGACGGGCGTTTCGTCCTAGTATGAGACTATTCAGTAGTCTGTGTCCACGATCACGCATGCGAGATTCGAACACAGAACCTTCGGTCTCATGCGCGCGAACGCTTAGCCCATAGACCACTGAGCCGGAATCCGATGGTGTTAAAGTCTAACTTCAACCAATCTATAATATGGTGTGGTCATTTTTCACAGATTAGCTACGCTGGTCACGGTTTCATCGTAGAACTCCGAGAATTACCTCTGAGAGTTAATCACCAGTGAGCAAATGAAACTATATTTGTAAAAATTTACTTCGAAAAAACTTGGACCGGACTGCCAAGAGATAAGGATTGACTTTGATTTCAATCGATGAGATTTTAACAAATATATATTTCAATGTCTTACATTAACTCAAACCTCAAATATTATGCAACTATTCATTCAAATTCAGACAAAAATTCTTATAATCAATCACAAATTCACTTCATTTAAACCTATGAAACAAAAAACACTAATTTTTTCAAACAAAAATGTAGCTGCATACATCTACATAATATACACAATTAGAGTAGATTGATGTTCTTTTTTAATTGCAACCACCTGACAAGCTCCATAATCTCGAATGGCGGAATGGAATATGAACCTACCTTAGATTACCAGCTAACATGTGATCATATCTCTTGATGTTTCCAGATCAAACGTTCGGAGTGACTCTTCTAAGAAAACCATTTACTTTGGTTTGGACACCCTAGTCCATATACAATTATATGATCATCAATGAAAGGCTTTTGCTTGCTCTCGCTACCTACATAAACAACTATTCCAGGTGTCTAATTACACACAAATTCATTTTATCCTTCCCCCTATTATCTATGCCCACACTAATTTTCCAACTCTTTTCGCTTACGTTAAAAACTCTGTTCTATGTAAAAAAAAATCTTAATTCATTGACAAGTAGGAAGTTGAGCGCCACTACTGTACACGGATTGAGTCAGCTTTTCCGAAACAATATGTGCCATTTAAACTCATCTTTTTCAACATCCGCACACTAATGCAGGTCGGGTAGAGTTGCCTTTTAAAAGTCTGAATACCAATGTCTGTTGTTTATCTCAGACCTACATTCAAGACACCAGTGAAATAGTAAACATTCAACCTCTAGAAAGCGCGTTCGACAGATCTTGTAGTAATTGCCGATTTTAATGTGCAGGTCGTGAGTCTAGACACAGAAGAGAGTCTTTTGGGTGTCCAATGAGGACCTGTTGGAAACATAGCGGCGACTGTCTCCAGCAGCTTTGCGCAGATACACACCCAAACTAGAGCATGATTTGTGTCTAAATATGCGCCCTAAAATGAACGAGTCTTTTACCGAGTGCCCTCCCAACGATCGCTAATGGCAATGTGATCTAGTTGAGTCCATCGATGAGTCGATTGTGGAGGTCGCCACGTTAGAACATGTTTATCCTTATGTTCAAAGTTGCAACTTGCCAGAGATAGAAGATTATCATAGTATGGTTGCAACAGGTGGTTGACATTGTGTTTGCTGAGTTGTAACTCTGTAAGATTTACTTAAATGAAAAAAAAAAAAAAAAAAAAAAAAAAAAAAAAAAAAAAAAAAAAAAAAAAAAAAAAAACCATCACATCGTCTAGGTTTTTGAAGGAAGTTGGATAGCTTCTTATAAAATTTATCATTAACTTCATTCAAGCTGCGATCAGTGGGAGGGTGGACAGAGAAAATGAGTCCTTACTGTCCCGTTTAGTCGAACATGGCACGAGCGACTGACTATTGGAATCTACTCTAACAGAGCCTGTTCTGCTTTTTGATTAATGCTATACTTACACCAGCGACGCCAAGGGAAGCATCATTGGGGTTTCCAGATACACATAATGTAAATCTTCCTGGTTCTATACATGGACAAGGTGAGGTCAAACGAAAGATCGTACTTGGATACTGTACGCATGTTTCGGAGATGCGGAATATGTTGGTGGCGCAAGATTCTAGAGTCCTAGCTAAAGATAACCTGTTGTCCTACTGGACACAATGTTCGAGCATTAAAAGCTCGAAAATGTAGTTTAGAGCTTGGTTTCAGGAGACTAAGAATAACATTTCGTGAACTCAGTATATTGGCATTGGTGGCGCCTGGTTATAATAATATATGAGAAGGATTAGTCGTGGGAATGGAAGAATCATTAAGAAGACTCATTTATTGACTTAAAATACGCAGAGGATATAGTTCTGCTTGGTGTAGACACTAACAATATGCAGTCCTTTGACAGCCTTAGGCAATAATACAAGCATGTTTGAAATGCGATTAATTATATCTAAATGTAAGATGATACTTCAGCATTCGTTTGCGTCATCTCCCGAATTAATGATAGGGAGTGAAGTAGTTGAACGCATCGGCCACTGTCTTGCAGTCTTATCAATGCTGATGGTTTGGTGATATCTCGGCACGGATTCAGAAGGCATGTTTGGTTTTCGACGTTTGATTGCCAATTTGCGTCACTTGTGGCATGGACGAGATAACCTAACCACCCAAGGGCCAGTTTACAGCGCAGCAGTTCGCTTTATTCAAATTTATTGATGTGAAAAATAACCATTAATAATAGAGGATATTTGGAGGTTTATGATATTTGATCATAGGTGTCTTCGAAGCATTGCTAATGTATTATGGGACCACACGACAAGCGATTTCATTTGAATACCCGAACATTGGTACAAAGAGGTACCAAATATGTATGCGCCAAACCTCATCATTCGATTTGTGTGAGGGCTGGAATAGTACTGGGAGCCCAAACCGAACCAAGTGGTTTTCTTAGGGGGTCACATCCTGAGGCTTTGACCTAAAAGTCTAATCAACAAAGCAATAGAGCAACATCAGGAGATGCAATCTCATGGTAGCCGGTGACTAGCGATAGGTTTATATGCCTTTTGTTTATTCAGGATCCTGGAGCCCATGTGCATTATTGATTTGGAATTCGGGTTTCCCGACTCACCTAGGTGGACCCGCTGCCTCCATAAACCCCGTTAAACCGCTGGATATTCTCTTTTCATTCTCTCAATTTCGTGAACAGCACAACCTCCGTGAGAAGACAGTGAGTAAAACTTCCCAGTCAGTGGCTGTATACGCGAGGTCATTTGAGGGGGAAAGCTGAGTCTCCCTGCCCTCAGACGTACCAGGGCATCCGAGGGTCTGTGTTAAGAATAGAGTACTAGATAAGGATAGGAAATCGACTGAAATGGTATCAAATCTCTATCAACTAAGGAAAAAAAAAATGTGAAAAAAAAGTCCAACCATCGACTACTGGGGGTAACAGAGTTTGACAGTAAACTAAGGTCGTTGTGCAACGACATTGTGCAAAGCTTACGTAAGGACTGAGAAGCCTGATGGTCGGAGAGTACTAACGAGTTGGAAGCAACAGCTAGATCTGGTAACCGCAGGAAGCCCTCTCAACACATCCTAGTCACTGGAAGCAAGAATTTTGAAGTAACAGAAATAACCTGTGAAGCTGAGGGGATGCCAAACGGTAGCAACTACCGAAGTCTTGAACGACGGGCGGTTTGATTGGGAATCAACACAGTTAGTGTGCTGCCTCAGCAACACTAATCAAGCTGTCTTGTCCTCTAAGGCCAGTGACAATCGACCAACCTAATGAGGAAGTCTGTGAGAAACTCCAACTCCTAAAACGCCATAAATCACCAGGCTTATATGAATTGACCCCGGTTCTTCTTAAGGTAGCGAGCCACCGGTCAGAGAGCTAACTGGGTTGTTTGAGAAAGTTTAGAAACTAGAGAATGTACTGACCACTTGAAATGAAACGACTGTCGTCCTCATTTTTAAAATGTCTACGTATTCCACACAACTTAAAGGATAGGTTTACTTTCAACCGCGCCCAAACTATTGGCTTCCGTTATACATACACACCAAAATTTATATTTAACACTAAAATGCGCATTTTTGCACAGCATGAGTTTTATATTTACGTAATTAATGAACGGATTTTGACGTGAATACAAAAACTAAGGTGTATAGTGAAGTATTTCAAGTGGAGTACCATATTTTCTCCGAGAGTGAAAACGAAACTCTTAGGAATGCTATGCACCATAGATTATGCCCAATTGGTGCTTAGACCCGAATCCAAATT